ACTTTATTATGCAAGGGAAAAAACACAACTTTCAATTAGGCAAAGATGTACTTCAGTGTCAAAATACCCAAGAAAGAGGTACAAGGATAGAGTTGGTCTACTGCGGAATCACTGCTTTGGGTCCAGGCCTGGTTAGCTGCAAATATACTCCACAGCCATTGAACATCCTTGCTGTTTGTGTGGAAACCAGTTTGGTTCTCAGCAAGGAGTAGAGTCCACATCATGAACTGCCATGACATCCCTTAATAACTCAGCTGCCAGCCAGAAGTGAGAGAACAACAAATGAAAGGACTGGGAAGATTCAGCTCTTTTCACCACTACAACACTCTCCCTGTCAGTAGATGTATAAGCTGTGCACTGAAAATCAGTCATTGTTTTATGGAGCGCATGTCTTGTCAACTGAGACTGGCGATATACACATCCAGGAGGGAATTTTGAAAAAAATCACTTCGATGAAGAAGCCATTCCCAGCCAACAGGCTACTCAGAAAAGCAGCAGCTGTCACCCAGCCTTGCCCAGGCATGGTCTCCACTAAAGCTTGGGCTCAAACTGTACATGCACATGTCTGGAGCTTTGAAGAAAAGGATGGAACGGATCAGAGCACCTTAACATACTCCTTGCGTACAGCAAGAACAACCATCTCCTTCCTCCGCCTTCCCAAAGTCCTCTGATTAGGGGAACAGGAGAAAAAACCCCATCCCAACACAACAGGAAGGCCTTTACTAAAAGGTGCATTAATTCGGTATAGCAAGCCAATGAAATGATTAATTTGCTGCTCTCCTTCATTATTATGTTTACACAAGTTGATTATGGCACTTAATTACTAATTCACCCTGCTCCAAAACGAGTGCTTTAAATTTTTAATGAGATGAGGGAAGGCAACATTCCCTAACTCAACAGGGAGAAGTAATTTTATTTCCTCTTTTGATTTCCAAAGTTATTACCATTTCTAAGGAAAAAAACGATCCCCTCCCTGATCTTTCACTCGATTCTTGCTTTTGAAAATATGGAAATCAACGAGACACTGGCATTAATTTCAATCCATGACCTGACAGGTAATGCTTTGGAAGAGGAATAGAGGATCAGATCATCAACTGAAGCATGTCCATTGAAACAAGTGGAACAAAATTACACCTGATCCAGAAATGGAAATAGCCTAATTCCCTCCAGTTCTGTCACCAGAAATGTTGAATATGTCCCAGGACTATTTATGGGCTTTCTTATGAAATGCTGTCTACTCACAGTTGCCAGTTGGTCCATTACTGAGGTTGCGGACTAACTGCTGCACTGAAGAGCTTGTTTACATTCCTGACAGTCTGTGACGTTTTCATTGTTCGGAGGTGAATACACTGAACATCGCATGTTCTTCCCAGCTGATCTTTACAAACCCTGTGTTACCTGTGGGTTTTGTTACTTGATTTAATCCTCTGTGCTGTACCACCCAACAACTTAAGACAACCGAGAGATGTCCATTAAATTCAGAACTACCAAGCAGTACACAAACAAAACTCTTTCGAGTTCCTTTAGCACAGAGTTGCAAGTGAATCGTTTCCCCTGCGCCATCATGATCTCCAACCCCTGTCTGCAATGTATATCCCTCACAGTTATGGCCTCTATGCCTGTTATTTTGAAGGCGAGCCAGGAGACCTTGATCCACATAGCTCCTAGGGCTGCTCTCAGGGATGCAAATTGTACCTAAGGGGTACTTCATTTGCTCAACTGCTGCCTCCGCTAAATAATTCAGCTAATCCACATCAGGTAATACCTAACACCTTCTTCTATAGAATCTGGATTATTTTTATATACCTCCAATCCACTTTATAAAAACAATGAAAAAGCTTTTCACTATCTTTTTGCAGGATATCCCACCAGCTGGTGCAACAACCAAAACTAACAAAGACTACACCTCCCTTAAAAGTCCATTTTATACTGAAAAATCTTGTAGCCATGCAGACTCTAATTTCTAGCTCAATGTTTTACACCAAAAATTATTATAGAAAGCTGATCACAGAAAGTTACCAGTAAAATACATCATAGTAAATCACACAGAGTTTCTTCTCTTTCTGTATCAGTCAGTAACAATGACCCTTGTTAAGACAGCAAATCCAAAATAAATCTGGTAATTTGGTTTCATACAGGTAATTTTACTAATTGCTTTAATATGCAATTAAGGAATAGTCAGTGGGCTGCAGGATTTTATAAGGCAATAATCCCGTTCCCTGGTGTACAGCTTTGTCCCAAAGAGTAGGTTATCCAAAAAAAAAAAAAAAAAGAGCTGGATGACTGCCAAGTCAAACAGCACCTTCTTCCCATTTTCAATTACATACAAGTGAGGCAGAGTAACGAGGATATACTGGAAACTTTGACATTTATTTATTGAACATTTTTACTGAGAAGGAACTGCTGGCTTGCTAAACCGGAAACTATATTTTTACTACAGAAACAATCACATAGAAACCCAGGATCCTGCTGCTCAGCATGAAAAGAATGGCCAGAACCAATAAATTGACCCATCTAAGCCAGCAATGTTAAAGTTATTTCATTCAACGCAGCACACATTTCAAAAATCCAAAACCCCAAAGACAGATTATATTTTAAAATCCTTATGTCATACTATTTTACACAGCACTGTCTTCCGCGACCCAACCAGGCTGCGTTACAGAAAACCACAAAGAGGAAAAAAAGGTGCAGCATGTGCAGGGGCAAAGATAACCCACACTGCAAGAAGACATTCAGAGGATTTTCTCCCCTTTCCAGAGATTCTAGAGACTAAATAACCAAAAGATGAAATGGGGAATAACTCCCCACACTGCATGTTCTTTTTCCTTTTTGGATAGACCAATTGTTTTAATTCAGTTTTACCACAGAGGAGAAAAATGCAGAGAGAGTAAATGAAGAGGAAAACAGGGAAGTCCACATTCTTTGAAGCAACGACATATGGTGACCAGGCACGAGAGATGGAGGGTATAAATCTTGCCTTGATAGAACTACCTAAAAATGAAATTGCAGCTTGCATGGGGCTTGAGCTTTTAAAACCACACCAGAATCTAGCAAATTAACCTGTACGATTACAAATTTTGCAATAACCTTCATTTCCAATGCTTCTTTGCAAAAGCTCAGCATGCTGAGAATTTGGGTACTAATACATTTCTTCAGTTTCTTGTTTCTTAATCTCAGGTAGCTGAATTCTTTTAAGAATATTCTTACATAATCTAAAATCTTTGCTCCGTGGTACAACTCATGTTGCCATAGATGGCACCTCTGCAATGACAATCTTGTGAGCAGACACTAAAAACACTTGGTGGGTGGTTTCCTCACACAGCAGAGATGTGGTGTCCGGGACAGGATTCCATGCTTCACCTGACTCCCAGTGATCACCACAGACAGAATGACGGGAAGAAACTTGCTACAAATGCTCAGTGGGATGTGTAACAGCAGTAGTTTCCAAACTGCTTTCCTCTTTTCTATTTCAGAGACATCCCAATGAAGCCCGTGGGCTTGACCTGAAACTCAGAGAAACCAAAGGGAACTCTCCGGCTGTCTAACAACCCCCTCGGCACCAGACCTTCCACGAATAGCTGCCGAAGCACTGGAAAGGGCAGAGGCTGCATTTGGGAAATCAGACTCCTTACACAGTGCTGAGGCACTGATCCGCAATTTGTATTTATCCTTTTCTCTTTATGTACTGGTATGAACTTATTTGATTAAAGCAAAGATGGGAAGTGCGCATATGGATTCATGCAGTCTGGCTCCCAACAGCCACAGGTAAGCCCTTAGGAGAAGCTTACTCCAGGAAGACCCACAGAACCTACACTGAACTTACAACAAGCCAAAAAACCACTCCCACAACCAAAGAGGCAGGAGCCTCCTGACATATCATAACAGCAAAAGAGCAAACTCTTTAAAATTAAAAATTCTGTGACATGGCTGGTTCAAAGGATGTAGTTTCACTGAGAAAAGATTCTTGAAGGAGCGGGCTGTGCAGACTGACATGTACGTATGTTTGTATAAAATACACGACTTCTGACATTACTGGATATACTTCTGAAATATGTTGATATGTAAGGGCAGGGATAAAAACTAAAGGTAAATGAACATACTGTAGTTATATGAAAACACATTACAGAATTTCGCAGCAATAGATTTTACTAATAAGGGCCTGTAGTGACAGGACAAGGGGTAACGGGTTTAAATTGAAAGTGGGGAGGTTTAGATTAGATATCAGGAAGAAATTCTTCCCAGAGAGTGTGGGGAGCACTGGGACAGGTTGCCCAGAGAAGCTGTGGATGCCCCATCCCTGGAAGTGTCCAAAGCCAGGCTGGATGAGGCTGGGAGCAACCTGGTCTAGTGGAAGGTGTCCCTGCCCATGGCAGGGGGTTGGAACTGGATGATCTTTAAGGTCCCTTCCAACCCAAACCATTCTATGATTCTATGATATAAATGCAGCTAAGTCATACTTTGGCCAATCCACTGAACATAAAAGCCTGACTGCTACTTTTACAACTGTTAATGGATTGGAGTAACATGAATAAACATGATGTTCCATCCTCATTATTAACTGCATTCACTGCGGGCGAGACAAGAGGTATAGGTGTGTCATTTTTTACTGCACAAATAGTGCTGTGTTGTTTCTTATGTTTCACATTCCTCAGTATGAAGAAAAGTAGGACAAATACAGCTCAGATGAAAGTGTGACCTTCTTGCAGGATCAGAGCCTTGCCAAACTCCCTTTTTAGTCTGTAAAATGACATGGCCTGACTTCACAGACAGCGGCTTTTACCTGTAAGTCCCTACAGTCAAAAGACAAACGAATCTTCAATACACCTCAGTAACACACACTTAAAACAAGGTGAAGAGAAAGCGATGCTGGCTCTTGGCCAGCTGTGCAGAAGGTACAAACTTTTCCACTTGAGTCAAAGTTTGTGCATGGTGCCAAATGTCAAAGTGTAAAACGCATTAAAACAGCAACAAAACAAAACAAAAAATCAGGTCCTGCATACCTGGATAGATGCAAAATCCCCAGAAGCACAAGCTCCAAGAATAGCAGCACCCACCAAAACAGACTCCACTTCTTTGGACAGGACAACAGGCTTGCCTAGACAAGAAAAATTAGGAAGAATATAGCAGTACTGCACTAGAGGCAGAATAAATAATTAAGGCAAAAAAAATAGACACACCAAAAAAAAAATCAAAAAGGACTTGAAAACCATGTTCGCAACTCCACTCACAGCTACCGCCTACTGCAGATGAATGTAAATATCTCTGCTCTGTGGTTCCAAGCTCCAAGAGAAATGCAGAATTTAAATAAAACCATTTCAGCAAAATATTCATGCAGAACATAAAGCACACAAAGAGCAACCCCCCAGATCTTTGACACTGGCTATTTATCTTAAAGGGCCTGGTATAAACCTGCTACATGCACCTTCCAATTAGAAGTTGACCTTGAGGGGAAAACAGGGTGGTACCTTTTCTGTTTCTTTTGCAACAAACAAACAAAAATATTGTGCTTGTTTTTAAATATATATATCCAACAAAGCCAGTCTGGTTTTGCTGGAAGACATGAAAATATGACTAGTAAGCTTTCACAAGCTATCTATGAAATAAGAAGAGAAAACTTGTTTTCCAGATTGTGTAACATACTCAAAACCAAGATTAAAACACTGGAAAAACAAACAAACAAACTCTATATATATTCTGAAGTAGAATTAGAAATTACTGTTTCATCACCAATGGGTACTATCATGAACATACTTTCCCTCCATTCACACCAAGTTTTCCAAGACCTGTAAAACCAGTGTAAAAACAGCAGGAAAAAGAGTAATAAATGAATAAAAATCATCCTGCTTTCCAATTCTCCTTTAAAAAACTAAAATATTAGCATAAGTCTAAATACTTTTCTAGCTACACTTTAGGTGTTCATCCTCACTAAGCCACAGAATTTAATATTCCTACAGTATTTGGCATCTGTCTAAATTTCCATTACTGAGATAACTTTTATTCAAGGAACGATGGTGCAAACAGTGGTGGGAGGAGGGCTTCCTTCTGCCAATAGCCTCAGTGATATCATGGCCCCAGAAATGCTGCTCCTGACAGCCAGCTGTAAGATTACAAGGAGCTGAAAATTGGAGGAAGATCTCAAGTGAGCCATGTCCTACAGAGGAAAAGGCAAATACACACTTTTCAAAATGAGAAATTGTTATTATTATAAGAAACAATTATTGATACTAAGCAAATTCACCTTGCACCCCAGACGCCCAGTTACGTGATGCCAACTTTGCACCGTTCCACCAGCGTAAAGCTGCTACAATCAACTTCCAATGCCATAAAGGTGCCATGGTGGCCTTTATGCCATTTCTTCCTACTGTCAGCACGGGCAGAGCGATGGGGAAAGGAAGAGGATACGGCCAGACCTTGCTGTTTGATGGCTGGAATGACCACTAACAGCGAGCTAATGTAATTACAGCATCCCTTAAATTTCTCTGACCAAATGACACCACCTTAAAAACACAAAAGCTCAGTCACCTGAGCATTCCTCCAGTTCAGACAGACCACAGCTCAGGGCTTGGATCAACTCAGAACAGAAAACCTAAAACTCAAGCATACAGCTACCCTGCCAGGTGCTGGAGCAAAGAGCTGTTTTCTGCGTGCTCTAAAATTTACTGCACATTTCCCGCATCATCAGAATGAATACAGAATTCTTACCCAGTCCAGTTCAGACAGACCACAGCTCAGGGCTTGGATCAACTCAGAAGAGAAAACCTAAAACTCAAGCGTACAGCTACCCAGCTCTCTGCCAGGCGCTGCAGCAGAGAGCCGTTTTCTGCATGCTCTAAAATTTACTGCGCATTTCCCGCATCGTCAGAATGAATACAGAATTCTTACCCAGCAAAGAAAAAGATCAAGACACTTTTTAAGTGCCCTGCGAAGTTATCCACTGGATGTCTGCATGGCTGAGTCACGGGCATTTGCCGCTAACAATAATATATTCAGATTTTTTTCTTTTCGAGAAAGAATGGGGGATTGATCCTGGAATGTTAGTTATTTTATCTGATAGGCTCTAATGAGTTCAACATAACCAAGAGCATTTCAGTCAGATGAACTCTGACATCCCTTGTCAGTCACTGATTTTACAAATGGGGGAGAACTCCAGACTGCAAAAAGGCCTTTTTGTACTGGATTGTATTTGGCCATTAGTTACAGTCAAAGAACTTCTGATTACATTTTAATCAGAATACTTTTTCACAGATCTTTTCTTTTACACATCATAGCCCAGCACCCTGACCCTACACGTAGCTGAAATTCACCTAAAAGATTTGAGTTTTATAAGGGAAGGCACGAACTCAGCAACATCATTTTTCACACACTGAAAGCGGCACTTTGACTACAGTGTATTTACTGGATTTTCAGGTCAATAGGCATTATGCTTTTTGCTTCTCCGTTTCTGTTTTCATCTCAGCCCAGTACATAAAGCATATTTTCATCTTCCCTCCTGCATCAAGGTTACAAAGTGTGGTTTGATGCTAGGGCAAGTCAGATCTCCAGACCAAAAGCCCCAAATCTGAGCCTTAAGCTTTATTCATTGCAGCTCAATTGGTCTTAATTTGAAATATACCCAAAGCACACATTATTCAATGTTTCTCTGATGTCCTTTACACTAAATTTCGTTATTTTTTCCACATTTTTAGTATATTCAGACTCACAGGTGCGCTAAGATGTCCAACACACACAAGGCTTAAGGGAGACCAAAAACACCATGGAAGCCTGAGACCTCCTGTGTAATGAACCCCATACCCAGGACCTTCCACCCCCCAGGAATTCTACAAAACGAACTGGAAATTCATGCAGGAGCAAGGATCCAGAAATTGTCCCCTAAACCACACTAATGATACAGACATGGAAGTCATTCTGAAAAGAATTGTTCTATATAACGGATACAGTGTCCAGCATGAGCAGGAAGGGTCAGGAGGTGTCCAACAGAATTCAAATACGATGAAGCTAATAGAGTTTTTAGTAAAACACATCTTATGCAAACCATACTCAAAACTGGGAATTATCCTTGTCTTCTGGTAATCTGGCTGAATGGAATAATTTCTGTAGTGTTCCAGAAATTTTTTAAAAATGCGACAGTGAGAAACACCTCTGACCTGCAATTTACACATACAGGCTTTAAAAATTCCATACAGAGTTTTTGTATTTAGTCTATCGCACTTTCTTCAAAAAACCCTGTAAGCCTAAGATCTGCAGACTGGGAATCACGCTGGAGGTCTCTGCAGAGGTCTGTTTTCTAACAATACAACATATGGAGCTTCGCTTGCACCGCATCTCTGTGGTATTCAAATGCCTTTAGATTTCAGGAAACCCAGTCTTGCAGGAAGCAGCATTTCATTATGCACTTTTTGACCAAGCAGCAAAATACAATTCTATATAAAGAAAGTATTTATTTTTCCAAAGATGAAGTATTTAGCCACCTAAAATAAAGTAGTTTACACTCCTTCCCAGCACTTCCTCTAACTTACCAGTAATGTCAGCGTGCATCTGTACGAAGAGAGGGTTCTTGCTCAGCCCACCGCACAGAAAGAGGGTGTTGATGTGATGCCCTGCAGCCTGCATAGTTTCCAAAATATGTCTTGTTCCTAACTTCAAAAAGGGGAGGAAAAAAACCAAAAATAAGCACAGGAGAGCAGGCACAGGAACAGATCTGAAAGCACAGTTTGCTAAAAAGAATGATACTACTACTGCCCCTACCAGTAACCTCAGGGCTGGGGAAATGGGCCGTGGGGGTATGGCCTCTGCTTAGCTTCCAGCCAGTAACAGGCATTGGAATCAAGAACTGGAAAAATCAAGCAGATGGCAGAAAGAATTGGGAAGTCCACGGGCACAGCACACTGCAGTAAGCATCCCTGCGCTGGCTGGAGAAGTGAGACGTACCAGTACACAGTAACATGGGGAAATGGGGTTTATGGGGCAATATCAATGAGGGTGAAGACAGGGATTGTGAGAAGACACAGAAATGGGCACCAGGAAAAAGTGACGGCAGTGATAAGCAGCTGTTTGTGACCAAGTGCAGCAGAGGACAGAAAGCATTTCCAGATCCAGAATGAAAACCTACATGGCAAAGACAGCCCCAGCAAAAACTTCTATTGGCTTTGTATAACAGCATCTGAGATGACTCGCGTGAAAGATTTCAACTCTGAAGCCAAATAGCGAAAGAGAACAAAAAAAAAAGAGCAAAGAAAACCCTGCATTTTCTACCTTTTCAGCAAAAGCAAAGACAGCCCCAGCAAAAACTTCTATTGGCTTTGTATAACAGCATCTGAGATGACTCGCGTAAGAGATTAAAACTCTGAAGCCAAACAGTGAAAGAGAACAAAAAAAGGAGCAAAGAAAACCCTGAATTTTCTACCTTCTCAGCAAAAAGGAAAACCTGAAGAATTTCGTATTGGCTTGACTATTTCTCTTGGCCTTTGCCCTATGCAAAATAAAATGTTCCATTTCATGCCTGGATTAATTGAAGCATCTAAAAAATAGGCATATTTTTAAACTTTTCAGTTACAGTCTCCATTCTGAGAAACTCAAATTAGAACAGCTCAGTGTTCTGCTTCACGAATGAGGAAAGCAAATGCTTTGCCATTTTAAAAAAACCTTTTCTCTTTTTGTTTTTCTTTGCTTGCCTCCAACCTCCCACTGAAGTCAACCTTCTCCCTCTTTCCTCCTGGAAGAACATTTTCCATTTCTTTGACAAACTATTTGTCCGGAAATAATTCACAGCTCTTTATACTACTTTGGACATTAATTTTGAAGCTCAGAACTTGACAAAATGCCAAACTCCAGCCAAAATTTGGCCCAAACTGACTCTTTGTAGGTAGATTCCCCCCAAAACACAATCCGGCCGAGGTTTTCACAAACCGTCGTTGAAGTTTTCTCTATGCTATGCAGCGAGTTCAGTAAGAGGTCTGCAGCCTGCAAAACACCTCTCTTCAAGTAAAAGCTACTGAAAAGCGAAGCTAGCAGAGTTTCATCAGCCTGGAGACGTTGGCTGTGAGTGACTGGCACCGCTCTGGATAGACCTTCAAACGTCTTTTGGTTTTTCAGGCAAGCGGTTATGAGGAACTTCAGCAGCTGCCCCACCGGCTGACTAAATCCATCGCTTCCCTATTGACACAGAGGGCTGATTTCCAAATCACACAGCCACAATTTTAATTATGGAAAAATAAACTGCTCTAAAAGGAGTCTGTCTCCTCAGAACGGGCTTGACGGCCACAATTATATCCCTGATCATGTTCCCATCAGTCTAACTGTTGCATCGCATTTTGCGATGAATAGTTAAAAGGATATTCTCTTTCACTACTTGTGAAATTCAAATTTATTAACAACTTCGCTCACAACGTACGCGCGTCAAAGACCCTGTGAAAGAACATGCTGTGAAAATTATTTTGTGTTTACCTGCCTGGAAAATTGTATTCACATAGCAGTTTAAATTAAAACCAGACTTATTTCACTGGGGGGGGCGGGGGGAGAACTAATTTAATCCTGGATTGGAGAAAATGCAAATTGAGGGGCTTCAAATGCAAATTTTTTATAAAAAGAAAAAAAACAGGCTCCTGCTGCAAAGAAAACTAGAGATTAACATTCTGTGGGCAGGCCTACACTTTCTACAAGATTTTTCCTTATGCTTGAAGTCTGTCTTGCATCCCCTGAAGCCAGCGAACGGTACAGGATTGGGGCCGTCCTGAACAAGGACCGTTTCCTCCAACAAACATGAAGCTAAAATTGGGAGTGATGGAGTATGGGAGGAAAATTACATTTCCTAGGCATCACATTAGCAGTTAGTAAATATATCAAGTCAAACCCAAGTCTACTCTTTCTATTTTTAGTTATTGTTTCAAAAGTGTTTTAAAAAATATTAATTTCCATTAACATACAATGAAAACTATGGTATAGCCTTTTTATATTAGTGCAATTAGCTATCACAAAGATATGCAGACACTGAATTTAGCATTCAACGTGGTATTTGCATCTTACAATAAAATCTGAGTTGTATCATATAATGAGATAATAGGTGACTTTCCCAGGATTTCCAGCAGTGAACATTTCCACTTCGTTAGCACGGTATAATGACGGAGCACCTGTTCCATACTGGAAAGTTTCTTTCAGGGAGCAGTATCAGTCGCTGGCATTGTTCAAACTCCTAGACAGTCTTATTTAAATGGTGGGATTATACTGAAGCATCAGGTATAACCAAGCTACATTCATCTTAAAAAGGATCAAAACTCACAACAATGAATTCCAGGCTGGGGCTAAATTCATGTTATTTGCTGAAGAGGGAGGGTTAACACATAAAATGTACAATTCACAGTAAATTTACAGCAGCCGCCCACCCTCTATCTCCCAGATGGCTGACCCAGCCTAGCAAAGTTGTTGTTTAACCAGTAGAGGAGTTTGGAAGTTTTCCAACTGAACAGAGTTTTGTCAGGAAAACTCCCCAATTCATCAAACTGTTAATGTTTTGCAAAAACACCTCAAGTTCAACAAACTTTAAAAAAAAAAAAAAATCACCAAAAGGATGTCAAAGGGATGCCCATTTCAGTCACCAGAGGCTGGGGATAGCACGGCCCATTGAAACTACTCTGTGCCAGGGTTTCAAAACAACTGCTTTGACCCAGGTTTTCACTTCAAAACAGAACTTCTTGTGAACTGGAAATCCTGGGTTCCAGAGAAAATCAGGGCAGAAACAAAAGCATCCCAGTAAAATTTCCCATCTCTGCATGTCAGCAAACACCAGGGACATTTTCATAAAGACGGTCCCTTTTACAGAAACAGCCGGGGGTCGGAAATGCCCTTGCAGCAGGGAAACGGAGGGAGGAATGAGATCTGGTCTGTCCATCTGCAGCGTTATGGACCAAGTGGCAGACCCACTCCGACTCGCTGTGGTGCGGAGTTCTGACTCATCTGACGGGCAAGCAGGGGAAATCCATGGATTTAGGAACGATCTGAAGCTGAGGAATTTTTAGGGGAGCTCAAGTTCCTTCATACAACTGCCAAAGCCCTTTTTTTCCACACTCTCAGCTTCCCTCTGGACAGCCCGTGACGTTAACAGTGCCCATATAATATCAGCCTCTTTCTGCACATCTGCACTACAGGCAAAAGCTCCATTTACAGAATTGCCATAAGGAGGTAACTTTTTAGGGCAACGTTTTCTCCACAGTCTAACGATTATCCTACAGTAGGGAGCAGGTAGGGAGCAGTCACCAACGTGGGTAAACAATACCTTGCTCCTTTAAGAAGCCCATTAAGTAAATTCATCTATTATTAGAAATCTGTTTAGCAGAAGGGAATGATCAGTCTGCCACAGAACATGAGACAACTCATTTATTCTCTTATGCACTTAAAATGGCTTACAGCAATGGCTTGAATCGTGGCCAAGTAGATAAGGGCAAGTTCATCCAGACCCCGAGACAGCGTTAGTCCAACAACCTGTGCAAAGATCAAAAAGAAAACATACACATCCAGTCAAAGTAAAAACTCTGTTCTTTTCTGTGGTTTCTTGTTGTAACAAGTTTCAAGTGCTAATTCTAAGCCCTACTTTTGTGAGCTGTGCACATAACGATATGTTAAACATGTTACTCCTGATCTGGGGAAGAAGCACATAAATTGCTCTTGCCCTTGCAAAGGAATAAAGAACAAACAGCATATTGTATGGGATTAGAGATAGATTAACTCTGACAGTTTTATGCTATGACTCAGATATTGCTCGTGAATGTATTTAATGTAATAATATGAAAATGCTATTACATAAAAATAACTTTTTAAGAGCCTTTGTCCCCCTCCCTTCCAAGTACCCTAACACTGAAACACAATTAATAATTAAAGACTATCTCTTAACCTCCGTTACTCTGGCATAAATCAGTACTGCACTGTACTTACTCTGGGTTAATATCTGCATAGGCAAGGCCTGAATGCAGCCATAATTGTGCAGAAAAACTGGTATTACCAGTACCTGCACACAGCCATCATACTACGGAAATTCTGATTCTGCTGCAGCAGAGAATTCTTTCATTAAATAATACAGGTATAATTAGCAGCCCAAAATATAGAAACCATCTATTTTTTTTTTTTAATGTTTCCCTTGTTTGTGGTTTAAAACGTACTGCAGTGCTTACGCCTACCCTTTCCTATCTCAACCTCAAATAGAGCAGATTTTGGTGCTGGTGAGTAGCTTGAGGTGCTCGCTTCACAATATGCCATTCTGAAGTGCTTTTTTGCATTGATCACCAGGTAATTATGATATTCTTCGGCTACAGCTCTGCACAGCTTGTGACCTAGCAGACCTACCACCACGAAGTTCAGTGGAGAGAAACAACCAAATACTAAAGATGGGCTGAAAATCTCCCCAGCTGAGGTGCTCTGGTGAGCTTCCAAACACTGCTCTTTCTGGTCTGCAATGCTCTCAAAATTTCTTTGTACAGAACAATATTTCAATCCTTTTAAGTTCCAAAAGTAGCAATTTTAAAACCACAAGCCAGAATCAGATCGGTTTACCTTTGAACAAAGATGTATGAAGCACCATGGTTGCATATTTCCAGTCATGAGAGCGTCTATGCCCATTTTTAACAAGAAGCAGAGGAGCTTTTCAGTTTGTGTTGAAATTTACTCTAATACAGCACATTTACTGAACATTTACCTGTCTAAATCAAGCAATCCCTCCTCAGAATATTTAATTCCTTTCCCAGATAGGCATAGTCAAATTTATGCTGAAATTCATTGCAAGAGATCAGCAAAATTTGGTAGACAGGTGAGTTAACAACAGCAAGCGCTGCTAGTCACTGCTCTGAAATGTGGTTCCTGGGAAAGACACTGGGACACACACGCCACTCCTCATATTTTTAGAAAACAAATGTGGCTGTAGTGATATCTCAACTACAGCCATCTCTGATTTTCTTACTGGAACATTAGCACACCCCAAAATGCAGCAAGAAACACAAATCCTACGGGATAGTTCAAATAGCTAAGGAGGAGTATGCTCAAAATTGGAAAAAAAAAAGCTCCTTGCAAGATTTTTTCTTTTTTTTTCTTTTTTTTTTTTTTTTTACCCTGTATTGACCTTTTTGCAAAGACAGGCTGTTTCTTACCATGCCCTTTAGTGTCAGATCTGTTAAGGGAGATCTGTTACCATGGAAATCTGGCCAAACATGTAAATCAACAGTGAGGAAACCCACAGGCAAAGATTTCTTAATCAGATCCAGGTGACTGTTCAAGTATGTATATATACTGTGAGCACTGGAAGAAAAACAAGTTGGAAAAAGAGCGGGGGAGGTTATTCATCAAACATAAAACATTTGCACTACCATCAAATGCAGAAAACCCATCAAAGAATGCCAAATCCCAAATTTAAAACACAGGGGGAGAAAGGCAGGACCACCAAGCCCACGGCATTGCAGGGGGTGGGCAGCGGGGATGTCTCCCTGCACCTCGGTCCAACAGACCATCTGAATTCCTCAGGCTCACAGGATGAGGGGAAATAAGGGCAGTTTGTGATCCTGACTTTGTACACTGGCTCCTATGGGTCCCAGGATGAGCCAGAGCTGTTTGATATGCTGGGGGCTGATGATGGTTTTCTCTAACAGAAAGGTGCTGACACTGTGAAAGAGCAAGTAAAGGACAGAAAGCTGAGAGAGAGGAATAAGGAGGATTCCAGACAGAAATGAAAACCAAATTCCTTTACAAATGTTTAAAAATGTCTGATTAATCAATAGCCCTGAACTCGCAGCTTTCCTTTTTTAACCCGTAACTATTTCAGCGTGTGTTATGGTTAAAATGCAGCACTATGGGTGGAGGAGAGAAAGCAAGTGGCTCCTATTTTAGGGAGGAGCCGAACATGGGCCTAAATATGATTGTATCTAAGTTCAGACACTACACCCAACCCCTCAATATCCAACAGACTTTTTCCTGGACCAAGAGTAATCTTAGGACTAACAGTGAATTCTTCAGTGCTTTGGCTTGCAACGACTCCAGTGACATTCCATTTAAAAAATGTTGCAATTATGCTCCAAATATTTTTCCAAACACTCATACTATCATAAACAGATTCCTATATATTTTTCAACTCCTCGGAAATCTCCAAGTGGGGCATTTAATTCTAGACATGTGGGTCAATAATAGCATCTAACCTTAATTACAATTGATTAGTCATTGTCTCATCCACTGTAGACCCAAACAGCGATATTCATTTAGCCTCTACATGTATATTCAATCACACACTAATGAGATCCCTAAGGGAATTTGGCATATGCTTTACTAGTTTGACTTCTGACCTGCTAGCAGCTGTATATTTATACTTTGCATTCAACCATTCAGCTGCATGTTTTTTCAATTATACCTTGCCATGTGCATGCTATCAGAGGATATCATTCAAAATGAAATGCACTTGGAAGACATTAAAATAACTAATTCACATCATTATTCACATATTTTAAAATGTACTTTATGTGTCTTCCTGGACCTGAATTATGATAATTTTGAGGTCACAATCATTTTTTTCCCCCTTGTTGTAAAAGTGGCCCTGTTTTCTACATCCCTACGGACTGCACTATAAGGAGTATATGCTAAGGACAAAGCCATTTTATTTCCAGTCTAAACCATGGCTTGACTGCTGGGACGGAAAAGAAAGGAAAGCTTTACTCAACCACAGACCTACCAGACATCCCAGCTTCTATCTGATCTCCATCCTGCTTGATTACTCTCACAAGGATTAGCCATTCGTGCAGCTCTGACAGAACACAAGGACTGTACAGAAGAAGCTGAAGCTCAGGCAAATCTGCATATAACCCACATAACCTTGGAATTACACTTTTTTCCCCTCACCTTTTACTTTTTTTTTTTTTTTTTTAATTAATACACATATAGACATGGGTTCAAGGCACTACATTTGCACTGAGGGACTGGCAGAATCCTTCAAACACTTGCCAGTTCCAGTTTCTACCACGCTTGTGTTGTACACAGTTTTACACCATTAGCTCCCTGGAGCTTCTCCTATTCAGTTCTGTGAGAAGGTGTCAGTAGCAGCTGGATTTGACTTGCCCAGTCGAGCACAAGCTATTGCTATTAAAAATGAGCTATGTTGAAAGTGCAGAATAGGAAATCAGTGCCAGGGTTATGTTCATATTTGGGACACAGCTTCAGAAAGCAACAAGAGGTTGGTATTCAATCTATTCAGGAATCCTGGCAGATGCTAGCAGGTATCTTTCAGAAAAAATAAATCTAAACATTTTAGATTTCTAAATCTAAAAAAAAGGGGCTGTAAAACATCTTGAGGTATAGAGAACTGCCAAACAGAGTTGTTATATTCTGCTTGAAAGATCCCAGAATTGCTGATAGATGCTGTGTGTGTAACTTCAAGGCATTTTTTCAGGATGCATCTCTTTAGATGGGGAAATGGCATTGAGAAGTGCAGGAAAGGAAATTCTGTCCTCAAGCACAGCGCTTCACGAAGCGCCAAAGGGCATGTAATCTTTGCTGTCAAACAGTTGGACATTCTTTTCCTCCAGAAGATTAGGAACTACGATTCCAGGAAACAGAGGTATTTAAACTTTTAAACTTTAAAGCATAAATGATCATATTATTTCTTTTATTTTATTTCCTACTCCAGCCTACCTCTACAGGATTTAACATATCAGCGATGGCTAGATGTCAGACCTACACAATGTATAGGTTGAAGAGCAAAAGGCCTATATACACAGCAGTTTCTGCAACTGCATGAAAAAAAACCAAGTCTTGTTGCTGACAGAGAATACCAATTAGTTAGACCAAATGCTAAATTTACAGCTGTCCAGAAAATCCTCGTGTAATTCAACCCTCTCCACTTCCAGTAAAAGCAGGGAAAAGAGAACATCGGAATAGTACTGGGAGGATTTCACAAGACTGGTCTTCAGCACAAGCGGTCAGTGGGAGCTGGTTTCTGGCAAGTCTGTCTAAGCCACTCGTGTCCAAACAAGTTACCACAAGTTACTGAAACAGCGATAAATGCAGCCTGCAAACTCCTGGTACAGGCAAAGGAACAGAAGTCTGCAGAGTGAAGCTTCTGAGATCAGCTGCTCAGCAGGCAGTTTGCCACTGCCGAACCTACGCATGAGCGGCGCTGGGAGCCTGGGAGAAAGGAAAGACAGGCTTAGGGAGGTAAGAGCAAGTAAGAAGCACAGATTTGTGACCTCAGATGTTAGTTTTTAATCATCCAGGCATGCACGTGGTTTTTGTCACTACACAACCAGCCTCACTCTTCACAGTGTTGCACCTAGCATGGCAAGTAAAGGTGATATGCAATTGCACACCTAAATATGGAATTCTCACTTTGTTTTCTTTCGATGACAATTTGCAATGGCTGAATAGATAAATTCCTATGCCCACACACAGACTATACAAAATATAATAAACCAGATTCTCTGAAATACTCTGTTGAGTTTTCCAGGCAAATAATTTAGCATTGGCACCAACAATCCCCCAAAACAAGACTCTGTGTTCATGTTAACTATATGACTTCATGTACATAAAGACATAACCCAAAGTTTGGGCCAACACTGTTCAGTGAAGAAGTGCCTTGCAGCTGCTACGAGTCCCTGTGGTACGGCTGAAGCTCGTGCTCCAAATGAAATGAGAGAAATGAAGAAATAAGGAGAAAAAATCAGTTCAAATTGCAAAGTTCCTGATTTTTGTTTGTTTAAATTAAATTCTTTAATGAATATTTGAGAAGGACAGGGAGAAAGGGGATAGAGGGAATTAATAAGAGTCTTGTTTACTGAATTTATAGCTATCTAAACATTTCATTAGGAGAGTAAGATCTGGAAAGCATTATAAAAATGCCATTGAGCCAATTAAGTTTATAAAATATTATCATCCTTTTAGTAAAATATTATAGCCCTTTTTAGCATTGCTATCCTCCACAGCTTTACTAACTGCAGGAGCCTCAAATCCAAAGTTACAGCACCACACACTCAGATATCACTGAGTTCGATCCCTGATATCCTGTATTTAGTGTCCTACTGACATCACAACCCAAGCGTTTCGCACTACGGAAATCGCTGGGGTCAGTCAGTTCAGTATCAGACCTACTACAGTCCAGCAGGCCACTGTATACTCATTTTTCCAACATACACAAAAAAAAAGGCTTATCCTGGTATTACAGACTACACTAATTGTTTTTCTTATGCTTGTGTTTCATGTGGGAGCACCGGAAAAATGGCCTGGAAGCCAGAATTTTGGAAAAAAAAACCCAGATCAATCCTTATTCCAAACATACACAGATGCATTTATTTCCTGGTTTCCTTTTTGAAAGAACTACAGAGAGAATTCTAGGAAGCATGAATCTATTTAATATTGAATGAAGTCCAGTGTATTTCTGGGAATCCTGGTCAAGTTCTTAACAAACAAGTAATGACATTGGGCACTACAAAGCATGGAAGGGTCATCTAGAGAAACCAGGTAGCTTTATCCACCCCCAGGGAGGACTGAAAATAACCACATAACACCACGTGCTTAGTGTGTCTGTCAGGACTGACTCTTGTCTTCTAGGCCAGAATGATGAACTGAAGAGAAAATGCCAAGTTTATTGGGTTTTTTTCTTTAATGCAAGGAGGAAAAAGAAATTTAGAGAGAACCAAAATTTCATCCAATGTGCCTAACTGTTCAGCTAAGATCACTCTGGGAGTGACATGAACAGTCTTAAAAGGAATCCAAGCCGAAATAGGTTGAGAAAGTCCAGATCTGACAGAAGTGTCGGGCTGTCTTCATCCACTTCTAAAGCAGACCAAGCTAAAATTCCACATCACACACAGCCTCCTGCTCAAGGAATCCTGGAGTTACCTCCAATTCACTCCTACATCTTATGCTTTGTCTGAAAATTCATCCTGGGTTTCTCATTGTGCTGCCATGCAGGAATTTTTCAAAGAGTGAGTACACCTTCCTTTAGATGACTGTGCCAAAAATATTGAATAATATCTTCCTAATTAAGCTATATCTCATCCTTGGAGCTTAATAGTGTCACCTACAAATTAAGATACATCATTAGCCCAGGGCATAAAGGTCCGTTGAACAGGGCTGATGCTATGGTATCAAAAATACCGTGGGCTGGGTATAAAGGAATTTGAAAAGCAGAAAGCTACTATCACCACTTAGATATGCCAAAGGTATCTGAGGGGAGTTTAAAGCTTTCATCTTTGAGCAATCGCCTGGCAAGCCTTTGCAAATACTTCCAACCCACTATCAGACTGTTAGCTCCCCTGATCCAGAGTAAGGAATACAGGGTATCATCAATCTGTAAGGCAGGTGTGTGGTAAAGGGTTGAGAACACTGACCTGGCTGCAGCTTTGGACTGTAATTCTGGGAAGGCGACGTGGCCTCGCACCACATGATCTATCTGAAAAAGAGGAAAGCAACATTTTTGGAACAATTATAACTTAAAAATTTGGTCCCAGAAAAGGGTAATGCAGTATCATAACTTTAAAAAGATAAGAGTTTCTAAATTACTCATGAGGTTCTAGTGAAGCCCAGTGACAAAACTTCCACTGACATTACTGGATTCAGGATTTGCCTTAAAAACAGTAGGAAAAAAACCAAGCCAAGCTGCACCAAAACCAGGCAAAATGCTAAGCATGCACCTCCTCCGTCAGAAGAGCAAGCTGAAAGGATGACTTTTTCCTGTCCAACACTACCTGAGAGCGTGTCCTCTAGTCTCCCCCACTGTCCTGCATGCATACCCTCATCGGGATTCTACCAGGACCATCTTCTTGGCCCGAATCCCTACATCCTTCTTTATCACACTGTTATAATAAAGAGCAAGGTGTGCTGTCATCCTGAGAGATGCTCCATAGATCCTGATAGATGTTCACTGCAGGAACCAAAACGTATACCCTGACAAGCAATTATTGCTATAAAAGAAAATCAATATAGGCTCTGTCTATACTAAATTTATAAATCGTCTGGTCCTTTCACTTCACAGTGGCTACCATTAGTCACAAAACAAAGTATCAGGTAGAAAGAATAACATGGGCTTTTAAGACAATAATTCAGCAGGTTTTGTGGTCTCTTGATAATATTCCATCAGAGGTGACAGTAAAAGCTAAGGAGGCAAAACCAGAGCTACTCAAGAGCACTGAGTATATTTGGCAATACCTACTGGCAGCAAACCACAGTAGGTATTTAGTTTTTAACAACATGAGCCTAGTCCTCAACCAGTGTAGCAAAACATAGAATGAAGGGGACACATCTGAACACAGGAATAAAACTAATGCCCGCCTGTTATTTCTCAGATCTGCATCAAAGACCAAACGTAGACGTGTGCATGCATTGGAAACAAAGCTCCGGCCTCAATTTTGCGATCTTGTGTAATCTCTTCAGAACACAGGAGCAGCTCGTGCATTCAGAAACAAATCTATAAATAAATATCACATGTACTCGTGTGCTATGAAAACACTTCACACAAAAATGTTAGAGAAGTTAAAAAGTTAGATCTTTAAATGCCCTGAATACAAGACATGGCCACGTGAGGATGGCATCTAGAACCCTTTTCTGCTATGCTTTATTTTACAGTTTATAATGATGTCACACCACTTTCGGTCTCTGTTGTGCAGTATCTTTCTTCTTATAAATTCTGAAAAAACAGTGCAAAAGCCCATCTAATAGACAAATAAGCTTTCTCAAAACAAGCCAAGTTCATAATTCTTCATTTAGACTCGATCTGAACCAGTTTTCAAAATCCAACACTTTTTTTGCAGCTGTATCAATAAAAAAATAATTAGAAATTTTTAAAGTGACATGTATCAGTTTTACTTTTAAGAAGTTCAAAAGACTGTTCAAATTTCATGAAAATAATTCAACTTTGGGCACAGATGAAGCAGTGAAAATAATCCCAAAAACATTTGTTTTCAGAAAGCAGGATCTTAAAAAGACCACAGCTTTTAAATCACAAAGATAATGAAAGCAACCTATCCTCCACCCAGCGCACAGACACGGTTTCCTCCTATGGTTCCCTGCGTGTTTTCTGTACAGACAACCTCAAGAAAACCACATGAGATATTCTAAGAATGCTTTAATGGGGCAGCTTCCCCAGTATACCTGACACTACCTAGAGCTGACTTGGGCGATGGGTCCTAACAAGACCACACATTTTTTCCAGCAATGTCTTTAATGACTCAGGAACTTCTTGCTCTCTGGTGCTGGAACAGAAAGGATTTTTTAAATCATCTTTATGAAATGCCCTAAGTCTCATGGTACATTTTAAGTGCAGAACCTCCTTGTGCCAGCCAACAGAAAACACTGACTTGCTGTATCCTCTCTAGAGTTTAGTTAAGTTTCTTCACCGGTTTTGGATCAAGTGCATAGAGACTTCTCCTCTCAAGTGTTCTTACAAAAGAAATGCCCAAGATTTGCCATTTTCCTTTTAAAGTGATGTCACGAGCAATAGTTCAGTTTTACTTCTGGCTGTGGCAGTTACCTATAAAATGGGACACTTCGGTTCTAGCCCCACCTTGACCTGAAAAATTTAAAGCACACACATCCCACCAGTGGCAAGAGCGCTTTAGCAGTAGGTTAAGCATGGCTCAGAGATGGGATGGCAAGCAGAGGCAGACGGAGAGGAAGAGGGATGACTCTCCCACTGAAGCCGTGACAAGGTAGAGAGGAATGTCAGATTCACGTGGCCAAGGAGGGAACACCATAGCTCAACGCTCAGGGTGTGTCTGGGCTTCCCAATCCAGGATTATTTCTGATTCTCGTTCGGTGACTCTTCCATACAGAATGCGTAAATGCAGCGATGCCTAAATCTACTACTTCCTGAACACGTACTCTGGTCACCAGGCTTTTAAAAAGGTGGGTGGTGCTGGGTCTGAGTAAGACAGCAATTACGTCTGCAGTTTGTGAAAGAGCAAAGCCACCTGGACATTTTGTGAGCTTACGGGGGACACCCACAGGGCTGGGCGCACCCCCCGCAGCTTGGCACCTCAGCCACTAAGGTCTTGCTGACATTTTTAGACTCAAGCCTACTCTTTAGTATATCTCGTCTTTCTGTAAACCTGACGTCAGTGTTTTACTTCTGACAGTCTCCCTGTAAACCAGAAAAGTCATTTTTATAGAATCCAGTCTGGTTTTAATTTTTATTGATAAATTAAATTAACGTAATGCAGTTAGACACTTTGCACTCAACAAAAGAACTGAGGTGACAATACATGCAGTATCTATCTAGATGGATAACATGTTAATACATTACTATTCTGTCCACACAACGCATCTTTCATTTATGCCCATCAATGAGCACAACTGTTTCACAAAACACAGTATGTATCATTTTCTTTATGTCAAAGTCTATCTCAGCCTCCTGCCAAAGTAAACAATGAATGCCTTTTCACCTGTCAAATAATAAGAATAATCATCACCATAAAAGGAAGACAACCCCTTAGTGCTCTGCCCCATACATAATCTCCCATCAGTATGCAAATGAGCATTTTCTAAGAGACCCAGCAAGGAGCACTGTTTACTGCTTTCAGCAGCACGGTATCTCCTGTGATCTTACGGAGGAGTCTCAGGGAGTGCTCTGGCCGAACTGACATTGAGGCTATCCCACAGGGCAGCAGTTATGGCAGACATCCCATCCTGGAGCTTGGTTGCGTCTCCAAACACTTACCAGTTTTCCTGTAGCGCTCTGACCTCCCTCATTCAACCACAATCCAGGTACCATTGCAGAGAAATAAGGTCCCCAAACACCTGGCACAAAAATGGGTTTTTCGCTGACCTGGAAAAGCAAGAGAAAGCTCCAGTGAGTCAAACGACTGCCAAAGCAGGTACTTCACAACTGAAGTTTGGCAGTTATCAGGGGCCAATACTGAAAATGATTCCTGCTCCTCCACTGGAGTTACCACCACCACTGTACAGGTAGAGATGCACTCTAAGGAGAGTGTGATGAAATATGTCCCCCATTTGCACCGTTTTCAGGTGACAGGACTGCTGCAGCTACTGGTTGCACGACTCCCCCACCCACTCCCATTTTCAGAACAGCTGGGACTGGCCATGCAGAAAGTGAGAATGTAGTGAATGAAATTAATGAACAGGAGCTGTATTTCACAGGGAGAGAGAAACTGCCCCAAGTTCAGTGCCTTGGGTGGAAGCTGCAAACCTGGGCTGGGAAAAAGGGGAATTGTTCGTGTTAGTCAACAAGAAACATGTGCCTGGTTAAACATTAGGTTCCGCCCCTTACTCAGGCTGAGCTTTACACAAAGCGCCCCCTCCTTCACATGAGAGCCCTTTCCTCAAGGCAGATACCTAAGCACTATGCTCCAGAACCCAAACTGGACTGTATTCTACCGCTTGCATACAAATAAGCCACCCACATACACAGTGGTGTCCTGCTCCTATGCAATATTTCAGTGGTTAGACCACTCAGGATGTGGGAGACACCAGTTCGTTTCCTTTCTCTGCTTCAGAAGATGAAAATTACCAGTTTTTAAGGGTGGAGGGCATTTTCCTTCCTCTTATAAAGCTTTCAATGGACTAGATAGACTTTCTAGACTTCCCTGCTGGTCCATACAGAAAGCGTAAGGAGGTACGCTATCTAGTCCAGCAAGCGAGGCGCAGCACACAGCGGGGACCGGGGCAGCGGAACACGGGCCCTAGTACTTGCTGCAGAGACTAGTTATGTACTCTGCACTGCTGGAACATCTATGATTACTGCAGTGAGGGCTGGAGAAGACAGGCCATCCATCCCCTGGCAGGCTACCCGCTTCTCTTGGAAGCACAGAATCATAGAACTGCTTGTGCTGGAAGGGACCTTAAAATATCACCTACTTCCAACCCCCCTGCCACGGGCAGGGACACCTTCCACTAGCCCAGGTTGCTCCAAGCCTCATCCAGCCTGGCCTTGGACACTTCCAGGGGTGGGGCATCCACAGCTTCTCTGGGCAACCTGTCCCAGTGCTTCACCACCCTCTTTGGGGAGAATTTCTTCCTGATATTTAATCTAAATCTACCCTGTTTCAATTTAAACCCGTTACCCCTTGTCCTGTCACTACAGGCCTATTTTAAAAGTGCCCCCCAGCTTTCTTGTAGACCCCCCAGGTACTGGAAGGTGCTATAAGGTCTCCCCAAAGCCTAATTCATGCTTTCTCTTCTAGGACCAACAGAGACATATCCATCCAAAGTATACATAGCCATGATTTCACTGGGAGAAGAGGACAGCAGTGCAGTCCTATAATATCCCATGATGCAGGAATGAACTTCCCACTAATCCATGTTAATGGAAAGGCCAAATCTGCAACTGCTGCCCTCTAGAAGGTAGGAAGTGCTCTAAGAGGAGGTAACATGAGTATTCCCTAATAAAATAAGTCTGTATATTTGCAATGCTGGAACAGCAAAAACGAACAGTCTTAGTCAATGGGACAATATTTTTTTGTATTTAAACCTTGCTTTATTAGCAAAATTCTAGACCCATTAAAGGATGCTTGAAGTTTGATATTATTTCAACAAGGCCTGGATTTCACGTCAAAATCGTTTTGAGGAAGAATGATTAAAAATTCAGGCTTGTGTCTGTTAAACTCGACGTACATTCTCCCTATATTTAAACAGGCCAAACTTTACAGCCAGTTTTTGCTAGCAACTAGGGAACAAGCTCCAAGATGCAGTTTACTGGCATTTGTGCATCACACATGTTTAGTAAATACACCATTGGGGAGGGTTCGGTACAAACAATTGTCTGCTCAAGCCATAAACTTGCAGTACAGCTGATTGTTGTCATGAAGTTAAGTAGGAAAACAACAACAAAAACTGGTTTCTCCAAATACATGACTAGAGCTTCAAGCGATCCTGATTTCTGTTAGGAACGCATCTAACAAGTACGAGAACCTTGCTCAGTTCTCCCCTGTCAGCTCTCACGTGCTGACTTACTTTTGCTGAAGACGTATGTGTGCACATGTGTCTGCATGTCTGCGTAAGATTTTGGCTGGCTAAACGCATTAAAGAGCAAGAATAGCTGCACTGAATTTAAAAAGGCATTTATGACTCCAAGTGGACGCAGCTACGTCAAAGACATTGCAAAGACATTTGGTTTTGTTTTGTTTACTCTTAAAACTACAAATTAATGCAGCTTTAAGTTTTCAACACCTCTATGGGGCAAGCCTGCTTGTACAATTTCAATAACACAATAAGTGCAACAGAAAGCAAATCCTAAAATAACCTGATTTTTAGACCAATTTCACATCGTTGACCTTACTGAGAACACAGCATAAGGTCAAAATTCCCAGTTAGCATCTGCTCCAAACTAGTGATGGAAGTGTGCCGAGAACCCAAGCACCCTTGTCTCATTCCCATCCTACAGTGTGGGCACAATATGTGTCTGTACAGGTGGGAAGGAACATTTAGGGCAGAAGGGGCCTGGGTTTTTGAAGTCTCATCTCAAAGTGGTTTTGATGCAGCAGTACTCTCTACTCTACTGTGATTTCTGAAGGAAGAGTCTACCTACACCAAACGTATCAAGCTTAAAATTCAACTGCTACCTAGTCTGAGCAAACGAAATGGTCTAACAATATTAAAGGCACAGAGATGCTTTATGAAATCAGTTCTACACATCAAGAAGGACAATATAGTTCAATAAATAATTAAATAAATAGATAAATCTTTCTGCAGTCATTAGTCCTCAATTGCCCTGTATGGCTGATCACACTTAAAAGGCTCAGATTGATTAAAAAACCAAACTCTCTCTGGAGCCAGTACTTCTGGCCTAGTGTTCTGGACACCCACAGGAATTTGCCAGGACAGGATATTTCCGTGTTGGCTTTCCCCGACTTACCCAGAGACCTTCCTATGATCGAACTACTGAAATACTGTTTGTACACATTCCTGCAAACTTGCAACACACAGCAGAGCGAACGAAGGAGTTGCATATCACCACACTGATGAATATAGCCAGTGGGGTACTAAGTTATCATTTTTTATCCTGCTATGGGAACCTGTAACTGGAATGAAGAACGCTGGTTACTACGCCGGGCTTTGTTGGTATTGCACAGGGCATCAGCACATTTCCTATTTCCTCCTTCCACTTCAAGAGTTTAAGTCACATTTTGTAGACTCTGGGTTTTGACAAACGTGGAAAGTGAGAAAATTGGGAAATAACATACTCGCCAGGAGAGAGACACAATCTTTGAGATGGAACAGGGTGGCCATTCTTCCACAGATATATGCGTAAGAAACAGCAAACGGATTCCATTTCCCCTTCTTGAAATAACCTGGACGATGCTTAAGTTTTTCAAGCCATGCAGCAGCTGGCATTTGTATTTTCTGAAGAAAAAGTCCACATTCTGTTGGAGTATACACTCCACCCAACCCCACTAAAAGACATGACTAGACATAAGTGTAAGGTTGGAGAAACAGTGCAGAGTTTGCCGCAGAACCCAGAAGATAAGTGCACTTTGCCAGTCTCCGAGCTACTTTTGTTACACTAATACCATGTCCCTTTCAAAGCTCTCTGTTGCCTTCAGACATTCTTATGATGATACAGGAGGATCAGCGTGGTGTCATTATTTTTTTTTTCCTTTAATGAGCTTAAGAAAATCCTTAATCTTTTTAGTAGAAAAACAACATCTGTTTTAGATTTATGGGCAATTGATTTTTATTTTTAAAGCAAATAAGAGATGTCATCCTTCTTTGAAAGTTGAAATACGTATTCAAAGGGAGCCTCCTGTTTTCTGCCTTCTATTTAACTTAAATTCATCCTGTGACATGCTCCCATTGCGCAGCATATTAACATTTATTATTTTTTACATGTAGTGAAACTGAAACACAGAGAGGATATCCTCTGCTAGATGTCAGAATGATCTCTGCACACAA